GTGTGAAGGTCATTGAAGGCCGATCTTCCAATTATCGTGTAGATGATTGTGATTGGTTAATTGTCGGGAAGTCAAATGTATAGCGAATGTGAGCAGACGTTAGGTGAGGCCTCGGCCACTAACAACGTCTGCGCAGGAGGCTAGGGCATACCAGGAAACGTTATTGTAGGTGGTGCTGAGGGGGGCACGACAGGGGGCCGTAAAGGGGTTATATTGATGTCAACAGAGGTGGTGGGTATACATATGGTCGAAGCATGGGATGATACTGTGGAGGTTGAAACGGGGGGAAATAATGGCTTGAACTCACAGGAAAAGGAAAATGATTAGTAATAGGTTGTGATATATTTGGATAAGATGTATAGCCCAAGTTATGAGGGTATCGCTGTAGGTTATTAGACACTCTTGGTCGATTATTGGACGAACAATAGGACGGGTTATTCAGCGGATTATTGGACGATTGAGAATTTTTGTGCTGGAAGTCACACAAGGGACCCTTTAGGCAAAAGCCTCTCCGTCTTAGAAATGGGCAAGGTACTAAGTGCTTGGGCAAAGGTTTGATAGAAATAGCGGAATTACGTTTGGTAGCTTTGCTCGTATGTGGCCCTTTCGGTGGATCGGTTCTAGGTTGATTTCTTGCCTCGATACATTCAATAACTGAATTCATCTGAGGATTGTACACCGATCCTTTGTCGGCCCGAGAAGTCTTATTGCCAATTAAGAGAGAGGTGTTTAACTCTAAATTTTTGTTTAAATCCTGGGTTTGTTGCTCAACAATAGTTATCGGTTAATCAGGAATGTTAATTGTATTAATTAAGTATAGGTCATTGTTCCCGGTGTTTTTTTGTTGTACTTTAGGCGTAGAGTTTTTAAACAACCGTGGCTTCGATTTGAACAAACCATTCTCATTTCGTAGATCCTGTATGTCTGCTTTAAGATTGCCGACCAAAACTTCAAGTTTATTTACTTTATCTTCAAGTGCTTTGTTACATTCAAGTTTCAGTAATAAATCATGACATTTATTATTTAAATTTTCAATTTTCCTTTCGTAATTAGATCGTGCTTTACATACCTCAGCTTCTATTCTTATAAGTTTGTTGTCGTGGGCTAATGTTGCTTCATCCAATTTGGTCGTCACCACGTCTTGAATCCTATTTATTGCCGCCCATATAGTTGAAAATTCAGAGTCAGCCGCTACAGATTGTTTAGCCTTGTTATCAATCGACTCTTTACACGCCGTTGCTGTATCTAAGCAAATTAAATCACCATTGCATAAACGTTTTAGTGTGTTCGCCACGAGATTTACTTCGCTGTCTTTTTCAATTATCAGTTTCTTTCGCGTTTGCCCAGTCCATTTAAGGATAATCTCGGTGTTCTTAAATAGCTTCGTTTCACCGCCAGGCGATGACCATTTGCCGACTAACTTTAGGTCATTTTGTACGAAACTCTTTAATTGAGCTAAATTGCCTTTCCAACAGTAACCGCTTTCGTCAATAACAACAAGAGATGAGAGTACTTTATTTTCCATATTATTTGTAGGTATCTTAACACTTTCATCCATAAAATCCAACAATGAATTTGCCAGAATTTGGCTTGAATTTGCGGAGCTCAAATTGACACGACTGTTCTCCATGAGGGTTTATGATTTATACATATATATATATATATATATATATATATATATATATATATATATATATATATATATATATATATATATATATATATATATATATATATATATATATATATATATATATATATATACCGGGTGTCCCAAAAAAAAGTACTCCGGTTTGATTTATAATAACTTCTAAATAAGTAAAGCTATCAAACAGAAATAACTTGCATTAAATAGAGGAAGGACTAACTTAGATTTTGATATATTACAGTTGTATTTTACTTAAAAATTCACGGAGATATTAATGTTTAAAATCGGGAGCATATTTTGGTATGTGTCTAAAATTAGCGAAAATCGGCATATCAAATATTAACTCCAGCGTTTGTTTGCTTAATGACATATCAGGCTAACTGGTATTTCAGCGAATTGTCGTTAGGGTTCGTAAGGGATATGGCGTAGATTAATAAGACATCTTACATGTATGTCTTAGCTCATTGTTTCCTGAAATATGAACGTTCAAAATTATGAAAGTATTTAATAGGTCTTTGGCTTTGCAAACTTAATTAAAGGTACATGAAAGACCTTGAAGGTAGGCGCTTAAATTTTTCTTAAATAGCCTAATTTTTTTATGTTTTACATGGGTTCAAAACAAAGTTGATTATTTCTCGGTTAGAGCAGGATGAATATTATTATTTAATAAAGGAAATAATATTGCTTTTTGCAAATACACATCATGCACATGCAGTATATATCAACGCTACTATTTTGTTACGTTTTGTTCCAAAAATGTTGGATGTCTCTGGGGAGTTGCTTGTTATGTCTTTAATTATGGAGTTGTATGGTTATCGTGTTTCATTCTCAGTTTATTCTGAACTTGCCAAGATTAAGAAAGGCAAAAGAGTTTGGGTGTTCTTAACACGATTTCAGAACGTTGCAGAAGTTAGAAAATTCATTCAATGTGAAGTTAGAAAATTCACAATTCCATTATTTAGCTAGGGCTAGCTAAATAAGCTCATTCAGAACTACGAACGATCCATGATGATCCTTCGCGATGCAGTTGGCTCATGAAATAAGGAAACGTATTCGTGCTGGAAACACATGCGGATTTCGGACGAATAAATTTTGCTTTTATTTTGTAGATAATAATACTTTGTTTCATAATAAACGATTTGTCAAGTGTCATTTATTTACTGGTAATAGTGCATGTTTCAGTCGGGCAAATCTTGATTAATATTTGATACGCCGTTTTTTGCATATTTCAGACACATCCAGAAATATGCTCCCGATTTTAAACATTAATATCTCTGTGAATTTTTTAGTGAAATACAACTGTGATATATCAAAATCTAAGTTAGTCATTCCTCTATTTGATGCAAGTTATTTCTCATTAAAAGCTTTACTTGTTTAGAAGTTATTACGAATCAAACCGGAGTACTTTTTTTTGGGACACCCGGTATATATATATATATATATATATATATATATATATATATATATATATATATATATATATATATATATATATATATATATAAGCACTACACTAATGAGGCCCATAAGGCCGAAACGGTACCATCTGTAGTTAGATATCGCTCTATGGCCTTTAGGTCTATATATATATAGATATGGCCTTTAGGCCTATATATATATATATATATATAAGCTTTAATAGTAGGTTTGGCAAGCCAAACGAAGTCTCCTTGAGGGCGAAGGATCCAAATAGGATTCACAGCAAGTCCTGTCGTATATATATATAAAAATCAATTTAAAATCAGAGACTATGCAACTTCGACCATCAATTTATTAAAAAAAAACTAAAAATACTAAAATAAAAGCTTAAAAGTTAAAAACGTTTCGGCAGTTCTGCCTTCATCTTGCTCTGCTATAATATTAGTATTGAGCACTTTATTATCTATTACAACAAAACAAATTATATATATATATATATATATATATATATATATATATATATATATATATATATATATATATATATATATATATATATATATATATAATTTGTTTTGTTGTAATAGATAATAAAGTGCTCAATACTAATATTATAGCAGAGCAAGATATATTTATATCTTAAAATTAATTATTGCTACTCAAGTTTCACGCCTTATTCAAGACGATCTTCAGGCAAGACGAGCCAGATCAGCCGATAAAGCGAGGAAAGAATTACACACTATTTTTAATGACATTGGTTTCAAGATAACAGCAGAGGTGAACCATCATGTTGTCAACTTCCTAGACCTTACTTTGGACTTGAAAAACGAAACATTTTCACCCTTTAGAAAACCAAACAACGACCCACTCTACGTCGACAATAGATCTAACCACCCACCTTCTATTATTAACCATATCCCTTCCTCTATCAACAAACGCTCCATCTCCTCGCTTTCTTCCGATCAAGCATCAAGTATCCTTTGATACTGCTGCACCATTTTAAGAAGATGCGCTAAAGCGCAGCAACTACTATATGTACCTCTGCAATACTCGGCCTGTGATAATTCCTCCAGTTTGCCACCTACCAACCGAAGACATCGTAGGAACATCATTTGGTTTAATCCACCCTTCAGCAAAACAGTTCGAACCAACGTCGGTCGAAATTTCCTACAGTTGATTGATAAACATTTCCCTTCTACCAACCCGCTTCATAAGGTCTTTAACCGCAACACAGTTAAAATTATATAGCTACTCAGGCGGTGTGCGAACTACGGCCGCAATGCATTCTGGTAGCCAAATTTTGTTTTTACCGCGAAAACATGGCGAAGTGACACAAGAAAGTGGTAAGTTTTATTCCTAATTTTTTCCTACCATTTGGGAATTGTCCTTGTCATTATTATGTAATACGAAAGATATATGAACATAGAAATATTATTACATCATTATTTAAGGTGAAATTGTTTTTTAATCGTAAAATATAAAGCATTGACCCTTAGCGGTTGTCAAGCACCATTGTGGATGCAATTTGAGTGGGACTCGGGTTTGCACTATTTGTGCCAAGTCTTTATCGATAAATGCATTTTTCACTCATGGAACGTGTGGAATATGTCCTAAGGAATTGGAAAATAGTAAAGCACCCCAAAGCACCCCGTTCGATTGTACTTTTTTTGCATCTCAAAATGTGTGTTTTTTCACAGCGTGACGATGGCTTCAAAGCGACCTTGTGGTCCTCCAACAGGCAACACTCCTGGAAAATCGCAGCCAAAATTATCAAGATCACCTAGCCAACCAACGTCGAGGAAGAGCCTATTTAATAATATTGGCGAAACAATAGAAAAACCTTGCAATAAAAAAGTTCCATGGACTGAATATGAAACAAAAACCTTAGTGCAATATATATGCCTTTACGCTGAAGATGCATGGAAAAATAAATGGCCCTCAAACAAAGATCAAAAGTTTTGGGGGAAATGTGCAGAAGCCATCAATAAAACTTGTAGCTCAAGTCGAACAGGTAAGCTAAAAAGTCAGTATTTTTGGAAAAGTGAAAATGTTTATTTCAAAAGGGACAATGTCTAATAATATAAATGTACACTATTAAGTAAATTTTGCAACTTCGATTATTTAATTCTTTCATTTTTGCTAATTTTGTAAAGGGCTGTCCTGCCGAACTCGTGCCCTCAAAAATTTGGCCAAGAAATATGCTACACTTAAAGATGCCGAGGAAGATCTTAATATTGATTATGTTGAGGATTGTATTAACTTGTGGGATGAACCTCTCAACACATTGCAACATGAAAGAGTGGACTATCAAACATTGTCTCCAATATTCAAAGCATCACCTGTTAATAGGTCAACTGAGTCAAGGGCAACTGTTGGTGACATTGTTCGTGATTTCGATGCTTCCTTTAAGTCTACTATGTCACCAAGATTAAAGGAACAGTTGGTAAAATACTTTTATAAGCAGATGGTGATTGAAAGTGGTGGAATGAATTTCTTTAAATTTGTCGGGGCAGATTTTCTTAACATCAGTTTAAATGCAATGCAGACATTGTTCATGGCAGAAAAGCATAATCTTCTGCATAGTTTATCAGAATGTTTTGCAACAAAAGATAGTGAGTTGCCAACAAGAATGCCATTAGACAGGATGCCATTTGGCTTAATAGACTATAATTTGCGTTTCTTTGCTGCAAATCGTGCTCAGAAGTTGGGCATGGAGCAGCACTATACTCAGTGGTTGGAGACCATGTTTGCTCACTTTGGACATAAATGGGCATGCTTGCATCGTGGACCTTACTGGCAATATGAAGTGGAAGAGTTAACCAAATTGCAACAGGAAGAATGTGATCTAGATTCTTCCAACTCAAGTAGTATTTTGGAGAGTGCTTTGGAAATGAGTGGCATCGATTTATCTGGTGAATTTATAACTGATGTGAATCAGTTCGATAATGGAGGTAATTCAAATGCGTCAGTTGAATTAATCACTAAAACTGAAAGGAAGTATACTAATGAAATTTAAGGAACCCCTGTATTGAACAACATGAAAATAGGTCGCCCCTCCTAAAAATCTACATACCTCTTGTATTGCTAGCAGTCTTGGACATAATTTAGGGAGATACCTTAAATGTAGTTCAATTATTGAAAGGCCATCAAAAAGGCCATTTGCTACTGGAGAATATTTTAACTTTATGGTTTTTAACACATTCAGTGTTAATTTTCAGTGACCTGTTATTCATCAGCAATATTGTATCTGTATTCTGTAGATGGAGAGCTCGAGCAACAAATACATTCTACTCAGAATGATGAGGAAGTAATGATTACCAGCGTTCCTGTACCTGGGAAGAACTGCCAGGAGGATTTAGATGCTTCCGAAGAATATTTGCATGAGACTGTAACTCAGCTATGGAGTCATATCCGAGAGAACCAGCAGGAAACTCTAGCAGGACTGCATGTGCAAAAGGATATTGAAAAACTTCATGGTGTGGTTCCCGATGCAACAAAACCAAAGTGTCATCCTCAAGTTCCTGGAATATACGACCCATTAAAGGTACGAAGGTTAAATTCAATCTGTTGATTCTGTTCCAATGCTAACATTTTTAATTTGGTCTTCAGAATGTGTGATTGAAGTATTAAAGAGGGGTGAATATTTTTTTACCTGTATCCAGAAATGGATCATTCAAATAAAGTTTTACAGATAAACTAAAATTGTTTTACTATTTTTAGAGCAAGGTGAATATAGCAAGTGTGAGTGTCCGGCAAATTCAAAAGCATATTTCGAATTCAAGTTTTACCAGGACAGTAAATATTCAGGTAAATGTTTATTAACACCTTTGCATGCAATGAAAACATGGTTTTTATAGGTGAAAACGTGGTTAGTACAGGTCAAAACAGTAGTTTACAGTAACCCATTAACTGGCAGTAAGAGCAAAATTGTCTGGCATTATAGACAAAGTAAAATACCAAAGTAAAATACCTTTGCCAGTTAACAGGTTAAAATTATATCCAGTACATGCTTTGTGTGTGTTACATATTGTCTTAACGTTGTGGCACATAGACTGAAGAGTATTTTGAAAGTGTGGAAGTGCCATATATAAGATGCATGTGTCTGTAAGAACCTTACTTAGAAATAACACTATATATATACATACAAAATTCTATGTGGATGATATAGGTTGAAGCACTAAAGGATGCCAAAAAGAACAACCAGAAGGGTCGATGGTGGATAAAGGCTGATGCTTGCGATGTACGTGCTGGCCTGAGGGAAAGCATGCGTGGTGAGTGGTCAGGTGACGAAGACCTTGGAAATGGCAGTGTGCAAATACTACACAAGTTGTACAAAAGTAGATGCAAGTCTGTCCGTATTATGGAACCATGTCACATCACAAAGTTCAAGTCAGATTTGGAGGATGACATTACTTTCCTAAAGGAAGCAAATACTGTAGCAAAACAGGATTACGGGGCTGCACTCAATGTTCCTGGTAGGAGGGAACAAAAACTTATGGAACTTGCATGGAATGTTACTGGAATTGAAGAGTTGCTGAAGCAAGCAATTAAATGAGTATGTGAATGAACTTTCCCAAATGATCTTATTCTTTCAGTTAGGTGATTTGGGGACTGTTAAGAAATTGATTTTTCCATTTAAAGTCAAGTTTGATAAATATCTCAAAGGATTATTTATGAAGAAAAGATCTGTGGCAACTCATCTCTTGATATTTATGATATCAGATGAATTAAGAAACCAGAAGCCCTATGCTGTTCCTATACATGCAGTTTCTCTCATACAAGTCAATCACTGATTGCCAACTCAGAAACCTACAACTAGAAATAGAAGCTTCTATGAAAAAGTTAGATATGGATGTTGTAGGTTAGTACTTAGACTTGCCACAAGTCGACCATGGGGGAGGGAGGGCGCGGGGGAGGGAACACGCGACCCGAGCGACGAAGTCGCGAGTGGTCGACTTGTGTCCCTTGCAGGAATTTAAATCGCATTAAAAATTTTGGCGCGAATAATTTTGACATAAAAGGGGTGTGTACATTTCATACAATTACTTCACCGCGCCGACAATGGGTTTACAAAAACACAAAAACATTCCCAAGAATTGATATTTCTTTGTCCTCGAATGAAACAGTTCGCACCGAGTGTGGAAACGAAATAACTGACCCAAGTAAGCGCCGAAAGCTGTTCAATGTATCAACAAAAACGAGTGCATGTAAAAACTTACTGAATCTAGACAGTTGTTTTGTCTAACAATGTGTGCCGTAATTGTGCCGACAACAATAGTAATTTATTAGACTTATTATATAAAGTTGATTCAGTTCGCGAGCGATTTAATATTAGTAGTAGAAGTTAATCTAATTGAAAAGAATCAGACAACTAGCTGTAACCGCGAAGCAGAGAGGCGGCGATTGTGATCAACGAGAAGACGTCGCCACAGTTCAAAATCCGGTAAAAATACGCGTTGTTTTCTCAACAAATGATTTTGTATTAATAATCAGTAATCGAGATCAAGAAACCCAAACTAAACCCGAAACTAGTGAGGAAATTTTAGAATCATTACATGTATCTTCAGTACGTGACAGTATTAATAAAGTTTATTTCGACACCCTGTACTTCTAAATATAGCCTACTCAATGTAATGCTTGTTTGTGTATTTTCACATGGTTTTTGTGTTCTACAAAATTGTAATTACATTGTTTACTCTATTTGCTTCAATAGTACACATTTGTTCAACAAGAAAGCCTAAGAATATAATATTGTAATACAATAATAATAATGTAAACCGCTTCGGCAAATCGGCGATGTAAACAATGACGTCACCGGTGGATTTTTCCACCGGTGATATTTGGCGCGCTGCAAGTGACAAAAGTTCTTTCCACAGAGGAAGCGAAGCGCGCCATAGAAGGGTCTGGAAAGGACTTTGGAAAGTCTAGTTAGTACTTAGTAGCAATAATACTTTTACAGTTGATTTCACATCTTTCCCTGAATGTTGTGAACTTCATTCCGAACTTCATTGTGAAGTTCAAAAGTTCATACTGAAATTCACAAGCTGGTTTGTAAACAAAGACTCTAATTGGCTTATTTTTGTTAAGGGACCAATCAGAGGCTTTGTTTACAAACCGACTTGTCAATTTCAGTGTGAACTTTTGAACTTCACAACGAAGTTCGCAACTATTTTTCACTCGCTACTCTGGTTTGAATAAATGATTACAAAGCCCAGTCGAATTGCAATCAAGACCCAACGTTTCGACACTCCAGTCTAGTGTCTTTATCAGGGGTGATCTAAAATTGCAATCGTGGAAACATTTACGCCTAAAGCGCGCACCTAGGGGGTTCAGGGGTATGATCCCTGGAAAATTTTGAAAATTAGAACCCTAGAAATGCCATTTCCTGCAACATGGGCATTGAACAATGAGCTTCAGTTTGACTTAAAAAAAGGAAAAACCTTGGACATCATGCCATATTCCCAAATTTGATTTTTTCCCACCCCCCTTGCACTCTGTTGTCCTTGTTGCACCCCTGTTGACCAAGGCCAACAGGGGTATGCACCCCTGTTGACCAAGGCCAACAGGGGTATGCACCCCTGTTGACCAAGGCCAACAGGGGTATGCACCCCTGTGCACACACACCCCTATTAATCTACCCCTGGCATTTGCTTACATTTAAAGTACTTCCTTTTTGTTTTTCAAAGGTTTTACCACTGACGGAGAATTTAATTCACTAAGAACATCTGGAACAAAGAGGCCAATATCCATAATTGAAGTAATTAAGAATATTGCTAAAGGAATGAAGTGTAAAGAAATCACAAAATATTTCACACTGGACAAGGAAGGTATTGTATAATAGTGCAATCATGTCAATTAAACTATACATATAATGCAAATACAATAAACCTACTTTCCCCATTGCTTCACCCAAATTTTTACCACCACTTTTCCAGATGAATTATGTCAAATGTGAAGATACAGATTTCTTTTTAGAAATATAAAAATAATTTTCGCTTTGGTGTAAGAAAGAATATAGGAAATTAGGAATATAGAAATAAAGAATATAGGAATATAGGAAATTAATATATGAAATATTGACTAAAGTAATTACTTCCTCCAACAGGAAACCCATTGAAAAGCCATCCTGCTGTTCCTCCCGAAGATGCAAAATGGTGTCATGATTTTATGTATGACAGCGACCCTCCAGTTACATTCCACCGTGCTTGTCTAATTCTCAGAAGGAGACTTTTCCCCTTCCACTATGATCCATACCCTTGGGTTAAAGGCAGAGATGAGACAAATGTAGAGGTGTTGAAATCACTGATGGCTATATATTTACACCGTGCAGAAGTTCAGAATCTTAGAGGCCTTAAAGAAGATCCTGCAGATTTTAATTCCCATCTCTACCAACCCGAGCTAGGGGGTCCATTTACCTGGACTTGATTTGAGATATCTCAAAGACGCGCTACATGACCCATGCACAGGACTAACATATGAAGCACTTACAGGTAAAAATAATAATTTAAAAATCAGTTTAACCTGTTACCTTGCCATACCCCACCACTGGGCTCATCTGGGCATATAACATAAAAGTGTCACTAAGATACAATTGTTATGTTTAGGAAAATATAAACAATCTGTACCTGATTGTGAACGTATAATTTCACCTGGAGTGTTCAAATTTTTGGAAAGGTCATACATCAGGAGCGACTGTACTGAAGTTGTTACATAATTGGCACAAAGCTGTTGATGGGAGAGGCTTGAGTGAAGATCAGAGATCAACATATTGTGAAGAACTAAAATGTTGGTTGCTGGATGACTGGGTGCCATGGCACCGAGAAGTTAAAGACTACTCCCAAATTGATGTGAACAGGTTAGCTCTTTTGGCTTCCTCTTTTGTTTTTTTAGTAAAAATCAAATATGTTTTTCCAACTGGCCTGTTTTGCAATACAATTTGATTCCAAAAGCGGTTGTATCATTCTCATACTGGTCCTTTGCTTCCTCTACACCTCATTCTACATGATTCTCGTGATGTTTTTAGTCGGTTAATCCTATCAACACAGAGGCTGTATCATTTTTCAACTAATGTGTTGAAATTGATCATTTAATATCACAAATTCTGAAGCCATTATACTATACATTAATTAGCTGTTGTAAATATTCTTATTTTTCATTCAATTTTATTGTTAAAAATAGACCTGTGAAGGGGATTTGTGGGCTAACCCGTGAGGTGATTGTTGGTTTGGTGGCAAATCTTGAGAGTCGTGAGTTACGCAGAATTGAATACATACAAAGAAATATCAAACCAGAGCACCCAAGATCTTCTTCAACCGATGATGTGGAGAGTTTCATTTCTTTACTACATGAAATTCTTGGATTAAATTTTGATTTGAAGCAAGTCTTCAGTGAGCTTCCTAAAATCCTAAATGAGTTTAGGAAAAGGACAGACAAAGATTTGCCGTTCTATTATTGAACTGGTGCAAAGACAAGATTCAGAGAGTTTGAACTACCATCGTTTAATCAGCCTTCTGGGCCCGGAATTATTGAGCGATTGGACCAAGTATGCATATCAAGACGAGGTGACCCAGGTGTGTTTGTGTCTGAAAGGGCTTCCCTTCCACAGAAAGGCCAGCTAACAGTGCGAGCTAAATTTCACCAAGCTCCTGTTGAACTTCCCCCAACTGTGTAACAGATTATGCAACAGGATAATTCATGAAGAAATATATCACACAGACCCACACTATAGCAAGGTTTGCTTATATGAAGGTAATTTGTAAACCTGGCTATCCATAATTACTGGTATCAGTAACCTGTTTACTGCAGTTCATGCATGCAGTCTTTGCTTATACATTTCTCATGCAAAGTGTTTACATAACAGCATAATCACTCCTTGTCTATGTGGGAAAACTATCATATTCTTATTATCGGGTTCCTGCTATTGCTAATTATTAACTGGGATATCCAGATAAACCACCTCTGTATAAACATGCCCTGAGTTCAAACATTTGGATTTACTGTTACTGTTAGGCAACAATTGTCAGTTTCATAATTTGTGCTAGATTGAAACAAATTATTTAAAATTGTATTATGAACTATAACTTATTTACAAAACCTTAATATTTGGTTGTTTGCTATGGCATTGTTATCATTAATTGTACATCAGGAATGTATAGTCAACATCTATTTAACATTCTTGCTTGCTTTGACAACATTTTTATGCCACAGCCCTTTCTTAGAGAGTTCAATTGTTATGTAGTATCCCACCATCATCCAGGTTGTGGAAAACCGAATGTTCTTCACAGAAACTTCAAAACTAGGGTCATCTAAACATGGGTGTACATACTGAGTTAGTTCACTTGCAATGTAACCAACTTTAAAAAAATCATTATCGGTCATTACAAAAACAGCAATAGCATTACTGTCGTGAGCATTGTCTGGTTCCCTTTCAAGCTGAACAAAAACTGGCCGATTATATTCATTCAGGTAGCTGTTAGCTTCCTCCAGTATACTCTGTCGCTCTACAGATTTGCAGGTACCCAGAACTTTGAATGGCAGTGAATGCTGGACATCAATATTGCTTTCGTCATCACTTTCAATATTAATACTATTATGTAAAACCTGTGCACGGCCAACTTCGGGTTGTGTGAATTCCCACAAAACAGTGTACTCCTTCTTTTCAATTGAATTTGTACAATATGATGTACAACACAATTCACCAAGGTGAATATTTGCATCTTTTTTTATTAAACAATATTGCCACATGGATATCATTAATAGATGCTTTCACTCTGACAAATTCAACTGACATGACAGGAAAACATGGGATAGTCCAAGTGAACCATGAAGTGCCAACATCCACAATGGTTAATGCACTGCTTCCTTTTTTAGGTACTTCTGGCACAGATACTTCCGGTGCAGATGTGTCTGGTGCTGATATCTAAAGAATAAGACAATCTCAATTATAATAAGCTGTAGCAGAGGAAATTTAGCAAAAGAATATCATTGCCCCAAGGGAAGAACTGTTTCTCCCTAGGAATTTCACATCTCTTCCCAAATCAAAATTAGTTTCATTGTTAATTGAAGTTGTGCTATCTCACTATTTGAAATACTTACGCAAATTGCTCAAGAAAATTTGAAGCTAATTAGCTGCTCGTGATATGGACTACAGTACAACTTTGCTACATTAGTTTAAAAGCAGGATAGAACTCATGAAATAATATTAACTTAATGACATTTTCTATAACAAAAGATTTACACAATTTTCTCCAAACTTACAGATTGAAGATAGGGGAACTCATTTTCCTTATTTCTACTCTTCATGCAAATATTTCCAGCAGCCATCTCTTTGGCAAACTCTTTGTCCAGAACACTATATTGACATTCAGTTAAAGAAATTATATATATTGGATAATAGTTTCATTAGATAATACAGTATATTGCATGATTTGTATTTACTGTTATGTGGCACAATGATTTACTAGTACCCATCTTTGAAAAATAGATTTGTCTGGTATCAGACAGAGTAACTATACAACAAAGTAGGGTACATTGTAGCTTAAAGGCCTAACAACAACTAAATTAAACACAGGATTGTAAATGAATGACATTAAAATTAGAATCCTACTACTGCAATGCTTTAATATGAATTTAAAATGGATACAGTCCACAAAAATATTTAACTTCATCTCCTGGATCCTCAGTCCATGGGTTCAATGGCTGGACAGTCAACAATGTTGAGTTAAATACTGACTGGTGCTGGAAGACTGCCAGTGCCATTTGAAAGAGATCTTCATAATTCGCAGGTGAGTGTTTTTTCTTCAGTTCCTCGAACAGTTTCCCAGATTTTACAAAGGAAAATGCCCTGTGGATACCTACTCCTCTAACATTACTTAGATAATCACACCCAGCTGCAATGGAACCATGCACAAATTCTGTGTTTGTTGTATTTAGCCCAGAAAGAATGTTATTCAACTCGACGTACTCTCCATGACCAGTCATTCCAAGCTTAAAAATAACCTTAAAAGATATGAAATACACTCAATGTTGCTTTTGGTATAAAACTTGGGCCACAAGTCTCTAGCCTGGAACTTGGTCAGCAGGAAACAATGGGGCTTACAACTAGCTCTTATCATCTTATGCATGCAGCTTATTCAGGCACACTTAAATGGGAGCATATATGGAAGAAAAGGCCTTAGCGAGGTAAATTTATGATCAGTTTTGAGTTTTAGGACAACACAGCGATGGTAGTAGTTGTGGGGGGTGGGGTGTGGGCTTTCAACTCTACAAAAAAGGGCCAACTAGAAAGAAGGGATTATTTGATATTTAAAAGTTCTTCTGAATACAGACAAATACTATAGTTAGAGAAAAAACTATCCGTAGAACCTTACCTTTTCACAGCCATAAACCAAGAGGTCTGAATCCTCTGTCACAGCAACATCAGCATACCCATTCTTGAGGAGAAAGGCAATTTGGGCATCTGATTCGTAAGGAGATACAACATACTTCACCCTCTGGCACAAACATAGCTAAAACATAAAGGAAAGGTAGCTGCAGTCTACTTTAGCTGAGTTGGAAGCTATAGTAGTATAAACATCAAACAATACCTTTATACATTCTACAACATCATGGTATGTTTTTTCCTGACCCTGACTTGCGAGTTTATTTCTTTGTGTCGTACTAATATTTTTTGTTTGCGCTTTCTCCATTCTCTCTCGTCTTTCACTGTTTGTAATAATAGAAGAACAAATTATAATTTAATAAATAGCAAATACAATGACGAAGCTCTGTCAAGTCTGGTCAAAGCATGAATGCAAGCGTTGGAAATCGAAGATTTTGAAATATATAAACCTTTGCCGACGAGCATTTTCCTTTTCTTTCGCTGGCAATGCCAAGCCATCGAAGACCATCAAAGGGATCACCTCAGCATCCTTCAGTGGTTGTATGTGGCTGTTGAATATTCGGGAAAACCTTTACGAAAATAATTATAGTTTATATAACAGTTTTTTTATTTTAGTAAAAATAGGAATATACTGTTATCAAGCTTCTCACCTTTCTCTAGTTCCTGTTTGTGATACAGAAATTGCCAGCAATTTATGTATCCAACACGATGCATCTACCGCAATAGTTTGCCCAGAAAATCTATTTATATTCACGTTTGTAGAGTATTTCTTAACGAATGGCAAAAGACAGTTTATCCCCATTTAAGTATTAATATATTCCCAAATAATCATTAATTATTTTACAGCAGAGATGTGCATACGACCGCAGTCAAAATGCAAATGACATCAGGAAATTTACATGGCGCGAAAACGCCAGAATGCATTGCGGCAGTAGTTCGCACACCGCCTGCTTCAAAGCTGATTCGAGGTCGGCGATAAAATCTAGTTTCTTCGCGTCAGCTGCGTTGTAATTCAATCCTTTGGCTAATACTTGTTTCTGTTGATCAGTGAGTTGCTTATGGGAGATATTTTTAACCCATGCGTCTGCGTTGTTATGGTTACGTTGGTATGATCTGGAATTGTTGAGTTTTCGTTGTAATTTTGCACGTCTCTTTGATACTTCTAATGGTATTTTCTAATGAATTTCCATCTTCTGTGTTAGTTATGGCAAAAATGGCGCTGCGGTGATCCTTAATTCTTCGTTGATATGTATGTACGTATGATATGATATACGTATATGATAGTCCCCTTGGACTTTGTCAACAAAGTACTATCACATCGGAAACAAACTAACACAGACCAACCAAACCAAACAAGAAAGAGGATCACACTTCCTTATATAAACACCAAGTCGGAAATGACAGCTAGACTTCTCAGACCGTTCAACATCGACATTACACACAAACCAACATGCAAACTTAGATCCAAGTTCACTAATCATAAAGACAAAACAAACGTAACCGAAAAACATAACGCCATTTACATGTTTACTTGCAAAAACTGCCCCGACAAGTACATTGGACAAACGTCTAAGAAAATTCAGACCAGATTAACCGAACATCAAAACGTCATTAACAGACACGACCATAATTCACTCCCAGCCATGCACGCAGACGATAACGGACACAAATTTGACTGGTTTCAAACGAGATGCCTAGGACGAGCTACTACAAAACATGCCCGTGAGTTTAAAGAAGCGTGGCATAGTATAGATAAACTAACATTTAACCGCCATATTGACATTCCTGTAATATACTTACAACTGAAACACTCACACAAAAGTCCTGTTTCGCCTTCATTAACCTTTAACCCACCCGCAACTTCCTTCCCAATATCAACTCACGATGATTGCAATCACCCGCACTCCATGGCAACCAATAACAATCCATCAGCCGAAATGCGTGATCAACCAATCAGACGTTCCCAAAGGCTTCAAGAACGAGAACAACGCGAAAATTCAAACATTCCAACTTTCTGATGAAGGCTCGAAGTACCGAGTGGAAAGCTCAAAACATTTAAATTAGAATCCAGAGAA